GAATGACCACATCGCCAAAAATTTTTGTAGCGATGGAGGGTCCTGGATGTATATATAGTTTGGCGGAAATTCGGAAATTAACAGTTTCCGAATTTCTGAAAAACTTTACTTTTTTACATCGTTTGGCGGAAATTCGGAAATTAACAATTTCCGAATTTCTGAAAAACTTTACTTTTATGTATAGTTTGGCGGAAATTCGGAAACTAACAATTTCCGAATTTATGAAAAACTTCACTTTTTTACTTAGTTTGGCGGAAATTCGGAAATTAACAATTTCTGCATTACTGAAAAACGTTACTTCTTTACGTAAATTCGGAAATTAACAACTTCTGAATTTCTGAAATTCTTCAACTTGGTGTCTCTTAACTCGGCTTGGTGTCTCTTAAACTTGGGATTTCTGACGGCCGGGATTTCTGACGTGTGATTGTTGGGGTCTACAGAGATCTAGGGTTTGTAGGGTCTTGGATTCGCCTAACTTATATATATAGAGTAAATTGAAGCAATATAGTCTTTATATGTCTTTATATAGTTATGACTTTGTTTTCCGGTGTGTCTGCTTCTGACGGTGTTGGATCTTGAGTTGCATGACCGGCGCATCCATCCAAGTCTTTCACTCGGCTCATAAAGCATTCAAAAACAATGAACAAGGGCTCCATTGTGCGCGATGATGATGTCTCAGGTATGGTTTCGAGCGCTCTTTCTCAGCGGCTTAAATGCTTGCCGGGCTTGCTCCTGGGGCCCACGCTCAAAGAATCATCCACCAGTACAAGCCTCGAACAAAAAGGGTCATTTACATTTACATGTGACACTGTTCCACCTTCTTACTTTTTGAAAGAGAGCCGCCCATTGGTTTGCATCGATTCGCGTTACATGTGTGTGCGTGTGTGGCCAAGCATCAAGGTTATACCAGCTTGCCCAAGCGTCTCAACATTGGGATTGGATACAGTAATGGTATTGAAGACAACGGGCGTCAAAATTCTACTACACCAACTTATACCGGTATACATTCTCCTGCCACACGAGAACAAATACAGCCACACCTTTTGCCACATATGAACTCCCAGGCATCCAGGCAAGTGGTAAAGAGCCTTCATGCAATGGTCTTTGGCCATCCACCCATCATCCACCCCAGGATCATGAGGCTGGTGCGTTACTTTTCCTGGATCGGGCCATGTGCCGTTTCATCTGGGTCACGGAGGGTCTTGCCGGAGGCCTGGCCCTTAGTCGTTCTTTTGTGGTCTTCGTTCAACACTCAGCCAACACTGCAGCAGAAGGCCGGTATGGTATAGTGGCCATGCGGCGTCTGACGCATCCCTCGCACGAGGCTGCACCAAACCCGGGTTCACTCCCCAGGCATGAGCGGACCGGGTGTGGAGCGTTGAAACACAACAACCAACACCGCAGCTGTTTGCCCTTTGGCACCAGTCAACTGTGCTCTTTGGAAGTGCTTCGGCACCTCATCCCTTGCGACACCCGTTTTCTTCGTTCCGCTTCGACGGTGTTCCGACCGCCTCGTGGCCGTGGGCCGCAAATCCCGTAGCATCAAGGCCTTCTGCCCGGTGACGGATAAGACCTGTGCCCGATGTGACCGGAGCTCATCAGAAAGAAGGGTCTTCCTAAGCAGCGAAACAGCTCAGCGAAGAACAGCGTCTCAGGGCGGTTGGATGAAACATGGTGCTGATGCTTCGAAAAACAACGGCTTCGATTCTTGGGCAAACTTGCACACACTTGGCCTACTACTTGGCCTGGTATGACATGGAGAGAATGCATGGCATGCATCGCTTTGGCCTGGTGCCGGGATCCACTCAGGTCGAGTACCAGGTCGGTGGGGAAGAAGCGATCCTGGGGACCGGTTTTGGCTTTAAAGGAACCGGCTCAACATAGGCAATTCACTTTAGGACATGCAAATCCTAATCACACAGCAATTGAATCTTGCAGGATGTTGCTGGAGGCTGAGGTTGCAACCACTGTGGGCAAACACTGTAGACTGTAGATGTGTCTGTATCGTGGAGTCCGATCATCGTTGAACGTGCTGAACGCCATGACGGGGACAAATTAATGATGGAAAAATGAGATGGAATGACTACGCTACGCAAACTTCATGACTCTTACTCATCAAAATTGAGCCCTGCTTTGCATTACATACATTCCAGCAATCAGGCACATCGCGTGATCTATGAATAGTTATTGATTCCTCACCCAATGCATGCACTTTCAATGCATCCCTGACGGTCCCACTCTGGAACTGCTTCCAGTGCCATAGAGACAGTACTGGCAACACCAGCTGTGATGATGGCGAAGCTGATTCCATCCTTAAATGCCACCAGCCCACGGAAGGGCCGTGTTTCTGGTCGAATTGTTGCAATATGATATCAGCATGATATCAGCAAGCCAAACATGCCACCATCTGTAATTATATGTTTATCGGTTTGACGATAGTTTGCATGACAAACGCGAATCCTCATGAAGCACAAGTTTGCCTCAGTGGGGATTGCCCGTCGCTGCATCGATGCGCAACCGCGCACATGTTCATGTGGAGCATGAGCTTGCCGCATACTGTGAGTCCCTGTACCCACTACACTACAATACACTCAGCTGTTTTGTAATACTCTAGATGTGTAGAGGCTCTTTTCCTCCCCCTTTCCAACGGTTTTGTGTGGGCCGTGGAATCCGGCCAGGCGCATTGGTCTTCTTGGTAAACCACTCGGTCAACTCTTGGATGCGCTCCTCGCCACCCAAAAAGACCTCGGAGCCGGATCAACAGCTCAAACCCAGGTCCGATCTTTGCCCAACCGAACGCAACGGAAAGACGTGCCCGGTCTTAAGCCATGTCATGTGTCACAACTGCAGTGCCCGGTCTTTCATGTGCTTCCTTGCATCTGAGTTGGGGCAGTGGTTCGATCTTTCATGTTCGAGCGCAACCACAAAATAAACTAAACATCGCCTCACGGGGGGCGGCCAAGCGGTCGAACATGTGAGCACGCTCTGTGACCAACTCGCCGACATCAACTCCAAGACGGCGGACCATCTCTACATCGAAAACACGTCGCCGATGCGCCGGACCATCTCACGTATAGCGGTCGCTGTCGGCCTCTCTGATCATTTCCTTGAACTTCTTCTCTCCCAGCTGCTTGGTCAGGCGTTCGACACCGGAGACCATCCTTAGAATCCACCCCAAAACCTTTTAAAAACAGTCCTAGGTCCGCTGCTAAACACTCCTCTTGCTGCACCAGGGTCATGTATCACAACTGGACGCTTGATGTTGGTCTGCGGGCCGGACACATCTACGTGTCCTTCACCACTCCACGCCGCCTTCATCCTTCTCCCAAGCGTCCAATGATCTGAATCCGGGACTTCGGGAACCTGACAGTCACCCTGGAGGGATCCAACTCAAACGCTTCGGCCACAGAAACCTCCGTTTCTGTCCGTCCTCCCTCTCTCAACTTCTAGTTGCATGAGCAGCGAGAATGATCCGGTCAACATCAGAAACCTGCGATATGTTGTGATATGTTGTGATCTGTGATGAATTTCCACATTGATTTCGGTTTCTCATGTCGTCTTCGGTCTCGCCGGTGCTCACCCACCCCCCAAGCCCTTCACTCCGTGGCGCGCCTCCAAGTTCACTCTGTGGCGCTTCAGCCAGGCATTGAACACCGCTGAGTGGGGATGGCTGAAGACTTGCTTCCCCAAGAGTTTCTCAGCCTCCGGAATTGCGGGCTCCGGCAGTTCTGCAAGCCGGGGTTTTCCCATATTCCATCTTCTAGCAGGTGCTGCTGGATTGGATATATAAATCATCTGTCATTTTTCCGACCTTCCGTTGTGTGTGGCTACCAGTGGCACTGTTGATGATATCAATCAACCAATCTTTGACTCAAGCATCATGAGATGAGATGAAATGATAAGAAACATAAGTTCTTATTCTTGTTCAATCTGTTTCGATGATATCAAGCCATCTTGCGGCAAAGCTCAGTCACAAAAACAAGATCCAGTGATCCACCAGTGCCAGCAAAGGCGCTATGCATTTGTAGTAATGTCGAATTGTGATGGTGCAATCAAAATCTAGACCAATAAAACCTGGCCGATGGAGTCAAAACATGCCCAGTGGAATCCGCTCACAAGATTAGACTTGAGACGTTCAAAAGCGAATGCAAGTGCACAAAGCAGCTTTAAATAGATAATAGCGCTATGAAAACAAACACATCGGAAATGCGCTTTCCCCAAAAAGCTCGAGTTGCACTTCCCGAGACAACACCGAGTGAACCAATACTAACCATTCTTGAACGAAGTCCATTTCCGGGTTCTTTGGCTGAATCTCAAAACTGCCCTCTCTCAAATCCATGGTCTACACACAGCAGCTTAGATCCTTCCAAGCAGCTGTCAGGCGCCCCTGAGCCGCGGGGGCTTCGGCTGCGGTCCCGCGAGGCCCCTTCGGGCGCCGCTTCGGGCGCAGCCTCGGGTGCCAAAAGCTTCCATCGAAAACTCCAAGCAGCCTAAGTTACAGCCTTTAAGTGGCCTAAGTTACAGCCACACACACAAACATGCATGGAGGGTGATCTTTCAGCTTGTCAGCACTTGTCGCTCCAAGATCATTACATAGAATTTCAATGCATTGACAAATCAAGGTATTGCCACAGTATATGGGAGGCTCCCGCCAGCGACATGATCATGGCCGCCACACCGCGCTACAGCCAGGCTCCGGGATCCAATGTAAAGAGTCCCAGCTCTCGTGCCAAAGCCACAAAAATTGGAGGTTTGCTTTCAAGATCCGAAGGACTCCAAAGGCTACAGAGGGTGGAGGCCATCGGCCATTACTAGCATTTAGGAGATTTGTATCCTCACAGATCGTCCAGAAGATATCACCGTCAGGCCGGCAAATCTCATCTTCGGTCCGGTCTTGGTGTCATCCCGAGCTGTTTCTATCTTGTTCCGGGGGCCTCAAACCGTAGCATGTCACAGCTAGCTCACAGCCGGAATCATATGCAAGCAAAACACCATCCGAATCCAAATGAGTATTTCTCTGCGCTTCCTCCGACGGGCCAGAAATCTCTCTGCATAGCACGAGCAGGTGAGCAAGATGGCTACAAGGCGCTGGGACAACTTGTAGGATGCTGGCATGTGCCTGGTACCTTGGGGGAAAACACTCGTTGGAATCGTTGGAACCGATGTTCAATGTTAAGTGTGTCGGAGCATGTGGTATCGCATGTTGGACAAACCACAGGCCATCCGTGTACATCCGCGTACTAAATGCCAGAAATCAAGCTCGGACCTGCTTGAGGTATATAATTGATTTCCAACGCAAGCCTCAAGTGTCTGCTGAAGGAGAGCCACAAATGTCTTCGTAAGACTGCCGGATTCTTGGTCCCACTTGATGGCAGTATTCACCCATTTCACATCATGAACAGTGTAACAAAAAAACGGCACAAAGCCCAAACTAACACGGCGTTCGCATGGCATTGAACATGAGCAGCAGCTTCCCAATGTAAAGTAAAATGTTGCCTTGCGGCTCCAAAGCGTTGCCCCAATTTTGTCAACAATTTTGTTGAGTGAGCCATGGCAACACAGCTGTCAAGGGGTTTTCAATCCAAAGATATCGAGACAAACAAGAGTCTCCATCTGTTTGACTCGGCCTTCGTCGAAGCAGGTTGTGGATAGAGAAGCATTGGTCCAAGCCTTTGTTCATCTTCGTATGGGAGGGCTCGGATTTCCAGCTATGATGGAAGCGGAAATCCAAGGAGCAAGTCAGTCTAGTTCTCCAGTGGCAGTTGCTGATCATGGAAGGCCTTCTCAGTGGCCTTCGCTAGGCCAAGAAATGTGTGAGTTCCCTAGTAAGACTAGGACTTGTGTGCTACAGTATCCACTTCTACGGTTCATAGCGGGTCTTTTTATCAGAGCACATGAGGTCCGACCGGGTTGGTGCTGCAGACGGCAGCTGTAAGGATTGTAGAAAGAATAGATTTGGACATGATGACATGGAATTCTTACAGGTTAATCACCTCAGTTGACTGCACCTCGAGAGGAACAAAAAGACCTATATAGTCATCAGGGAAAGGACCTGCAGAAGCAACTAGCTCCTTTTGATCTGCACATGAGGCGGTCTATACCACAGCCCGCTCTTCAGGCTGCACTACCTTGGTCGGCAACATCAGCGGGGCAGCACCACGGCCGGGAATGTGTGCGAAAAGAACGTGGTGCTGTGTTCCATCTTATCAGGGTATTGAACTGTGAGTGTATTTGCCAAAAGAAATATACTTAATTGTAGTACACTTGTACATAGCATAACTTATACAACTATCAACTATATATTAAGTATAGTCACGGCTGATTAAATTGAAAATTGAGACAGGGCTGTTCCAAGCAAAGCGATCCGGAATCTGTTCGAGCTTTTGATGGATCACTCACTCGATGTCCAGTTTCATCAATCAAACATGATCAATGGGCCATAATGGGCAATTCATCCCCGCTCGCTAGGAGCCCTGGTTCCAGAAATGATGAGACCTCTGAAACACACATATTCATAGAAAAACCGAGTCTAAATTGCATTGCCAACATGTTTCCCAAATGCTGCAGCGAACATGTGACACAGCATGTGAATACCTTTGCCACCCTAAACGCTCTTGCTAGAGTCTAGAGCACCTGGTTCTTTTCGGTAGCAAACCTTTTTCCAGCCGAAGTCCAGGAATTCTGAGAAATCATGCCAACCTGGCACGCTGATACTTTCTCATGCATCTGTCTTGTAGACGCTGCAGCCCAGTGGCCATCGTGACGCATCACGCCAAACTTTCCAGGACATGAAAAAGGTGGAAAATGCCATCCATGTCCAGCAACCCCACGTCGGCCTTGCAAGTCTCGCATCGCACCGCATAGTACTTGCTGGGGTCATCCTGCATCCCGCGTGCACCGGCGCACCGGAGTCGTGGCCACAAGAATCGGGCCTCTTTGAAGGACGGGAGAATGGAATCTATGGACAGCACCCAAAAGGAGTGCTGTCCGTACACCAGAAACATATCAACATGACAGCAGCTGCATGGTCAGGCATGGTTCCAATTGAAGAAACACCAAAAAACCTCCTCATGGACTCACTCCCCATCCTCCGGCTCGGGGCTCTGGCTCCGCGTCCCGACCCCTCGTCCTCGGTTCGGTCCTTGGCCATGGAGAGGGCGATGGATCGGTCCACCGTGCAGTTCCGCACGTCGCTGGCCCGCCATTGGTTGGAGTAACGCTCGTGCCGCTGACATTGGTAACCTGGGCGTGGTGGTGTCGAGTCGAGGGTGTCGAGTCGCAAAGACTGAAAGTAAGCCTGCTTTGGGTGGAAGAAGTGCTGGACTTCTCGAAGGAACAAGTTGGAGAACATGGGTCTTGAACGGAAAGTGTCCACCACTTGGCCATTTGGGGTGAGAACTTTTCCTCTCCTGGTGAAAAATCCCTGGGAGCCACCATCATTTCCAACGTATTCCCCACCCTTTGCCCACGTTGTCTGCTTTCGCATCTCAGTCACACACTGGGGTGAAGCATCCTGGACAGTTCAGCACTGCATCCGTGCTGCGCACATTGCTCTGGTCGGGTTGCAGGAGTTGGTCCTCGCCGGACTCGCCGTTGTTGGGAGTTGGTGACACATAACGCTGGACCCACACCAAGTGGAACTCCAATAGGTAAGTGGAACGTGGAACGCTGTAGGTTGTCTTCTGCTGCCGCGCAGCCACAAGGCCTTTATCAAACCTTTTGAACTTGAAGGGAAGCTGATCTTGAGCAACACCCGCATCTTAGAATCGATGTCCGGAGTGTTCGCCCGACCGAAATGGGAAAATAGGTGCCCCCCCCCCCGAAATAGATCCAAATATAGGCACCATGGGACGCTTGTGAGGAGCATTCTTCATTCTCTGTGTGATGGCGAGTGTTGGAACACCTCCTCCCTTTTTTCCCTACTTGGTTTTCGGAAGCCCCGATCGACTTTGATGGAAATTCGAGAATTGGCACAACGGCGCAACGCGTCGGCGGGCGGTCGTTGTTCTACCCGAGAAACCGTCTACAGTGGTCGTTTTTGGATGTTCGTGCGGTGTCCTGCATCTCGGTGGTCAACATGTGTCAACCCAATACCGACACCGTCGACCCACCGCAATCTCGACTCAACTTTGTGGGTCAGTGAACCAACAGCTTCGGATGGAATAGTCCAAGAATTATTCTCGAAACATTTGGGATCCCCTGAGGATGAAGGGTCTTGGACTTCTTGATCCGTTATCCCTTTGCCTCTCAGTAGCCTCGTACCTCTACTTCTTGGATTTTGCGCTTCAACCATTCCACGGTGCGCGGCGCAGCGCTTCTCATTCCCGTCCTCCACCCATTTCTGATCCTGGACAGGGAAAAGAATTCGGGAGTTGAAATGACTTGCAGCTGTCGCTGCCACGTGTCCAAACCCCGAGTGGTTTGCTCCCACTCTCCCCCGAACAGTGGGGGGGGCCACCTGTCCAGTGTTAGGCTAGACTCGGCCACCTGTCCAGCCTCGTCGTCTGCTTCTGGGTCATGGAGGGGATCCGCCTCTAAGACGTCTCGATCTCCTTGACCTTCCTTTGGCCCTGTGCCATTCCACTGCAGGACGTGGGGCCGCAAGACCACGCCGGGCTTCCTGGGCTGCTGGGTTTTGAAGTTTTAAGCGTTCCGCCTGGAAATTTTGGAAAGCACATGGGTTCCCACCTCAGTGTATCACATGAACCGGCTCAGTCGGGCCCAGGACCCAGTTTTGACCACAGCTGGCGGGGATTGTTCCGATTCGGCGCAGGCTGATTCAGCAAAGTCTCACCACTGGATTCCAGTCATCCTCCTCATCATCATCTACCTGCATGTCACACAGGTCCGCAAGAAGGGACTGCAACAATCTCAACGCCACTATATACAAGGTTAATTGGACCTGAACAATCTAAACTACTGGATGCGGGCTCCACTGAACTGTAGCATGATGGGAAAAGCCATGCTTGACCAAAGTATCCAAAAGTTCACCCTACGTGTTCCCTCCCAAAACCGAGTGGGATGGCAACTCCAACCTCCATGGAGGCCGCCATTGCAAGGACTTGAGCCAACACAATGCGGTAGTAAAATTCAAAAATCCAACGGCTCTGGTGAGAGAGCACTTTTCTTTGTTCGTGCTGGTAGTCTAGATCCATTGACCGCAAAATAACCGATCCCTGACGAACAAAAAGAAACAAGAACACACACACACATATATAATATATACATATACATATATATTTATGGATTTATTTATACTAAATGCATATACATAATGTAATATACAAAAAATCTCAAGTTGTGCATCACACTGCCCGCTGCACGCACCGGAGATGAGGTGTAGTATGGGGCACGTGTGCGTCTAGGGCACGCGCACTGGCACGCGGGGAGAAGCACCGCACTCCAAGTCATCTGATCCGCGCGACGTAACTCCGATCCTTGGATCCCCAGCCACTTTTGGGCGATAGGCTCCTCGGAGTGGGAGGTGCAGTGGAAGCCTGCAACGAAGAATGTGCACTGCAGATTTACTGCAATGAAATTTGGAGAGCCACGTAGGCACTGCTGGATAGTAGCACTGCATTCACTATGGCAAATAGAGCCTAATGGCTGTAAAGCATTGTAAAGCTATAGCAGTTCCAAGTCTGAATGGCGTTGAGATATTTTGAGTTGCTAAGTTTTCATGGCTAGGTCTGGTCACATGGCTTGGCTCACCCATGGGGTTCATTCTCCCCCTGAGCCCACTGCCTGCTATGAAAAGCTTCCAAGGGAATCCCCAAGAGCTTCTCTGAAGCAGCTTCATAGAGCCCACGGAGCCCAGGCCTTGAGCCAAAGCTACCATCGGCCACAGCGGACAACCAGGGGCTGGGACAGCGAGTGGACCCAATGGGAAGCCAGTCTAATACTAGTAGCATCCTTGTTACTACTAGTAAGGCACTTGTTACTAGAAGCGATGCACCTGTTACTAGTAGCGTCCTTGTTACTACTAGTAAGGCACTTGTTACTAGAAGCGATGCACCTGTTACTAGTAGCGTCCTTGTTACTACTAGTAAGGCACTTGTTACTAGTCTAATTCATAAGAATGCTATGCTTCTGCAAATTCGAGTGTTCCCACTGAGTGAGGTTTCATCGGCATGGTCACATAGTGCTTGCCGTGTCACCCGTTCTTTCTCAGCTTCTCACAGATCGTTTTTTGCTTATGTATAGTGTAAATATATATATATGCATACACTAAACACACATTTATAGTAAGTATATGCGTATATAATGTATATAAGTGTATGATGATACGTGTATATATATACAGTATTTTTTGATAGATCAAATGCACTTGCACAACTGTTCATGTGAGTTTCTATGAGTTGCTTATTCTCATGCAGCTGGCTGAAAGTGCCAGGCTGAGGTGGCTGAAACTTGTTCCCAAGCTGTTCAGCATGGCCAAGCTGCGGGTAGTGGATGGTGGAACCAGGCAAGGGCAAGACCACCTGGAATGCAAGGTGAAGCATCTGCATACCAACAAAGAGACACTATTATACAGTAATCTAAGTTATACTTATACCAACAAAGAGATATACTAGCCGCTAATGACATGGGTACCAAAAGCCAGCAGCATTCGGTCTTTTTTGGAGTCCTCATGACACTAAAACATAATATTGTGTAAGTATTCATGTAATTCATGTACGAGTAGTGGTTTGAAGAGACCCAACAGTTCTCTTCGACCAGGAATGCGGGAAGCACATGCAAACAACAAATCTTCTAGAGACAAGGCATGCCTTCCATGTCAATACAAATGCCCTAACGGAGACGGTTTCTTTGTGAATAACACATGTTTCACAGAACATTAGCGTTTTAGAAACACATGACATGTTGCAATTACCTGTTTATCTTAACCGATTCATGTTGCAGTTGTGCATTCTGATTGCTTGTCGTGTTTTTTTTGCTAAACAGATTTGCGTGGTCACCAAGCCAAACACAAGCGCATATTCAAAACCTCCGTGCCACGCCGGTACTTGAGCTGTCCAAATGCAAGGCTCTAGCGTATCAATGCCCTTGTCATGGTGGGCTCCTTAGATATCTGTCACTGTCGATACCTTGCATAATTGCCTTCTTATTCCTGCATATTTCATCATACTTCTAGTCATAATTTAACTGTAAACATGTTCCATGCACTGATCAGTTTGCTGGATTTCTTGTAATGTATATATATATATATATGTATTATTGAATTACATTGATATTCCTGAACTTCTCGAGCTGTTTGGAAAAAACTAATCCAGGTATGCTTCCACCCTGCTTCTCACGAACAGCCAAATTTGCAATGCGCGTTCATACATGTCTCCAAGAAGATCATGATGAATATTCCAGGGCATGTCTCCAGTACCAGTCTTCTAGTTCTTCTATACCTCCAGCCATAAATACTCCTGTAAAACTATTCCATGAACTCACGGCACTGGAATATTTACCTAAGGTACCAGCCATCCCTCGTCCTTTTCAAAACCCTCTGCTTCACTGTGGACGATGAGAAAAAAAATAGAAAAAGTGATCTTCGTCCCGCTCTCGCGTTCTCACTCCGCGGATTCGGGAGCTCGTCCGCCTCCCAGGACCCATCCACTCTTGCGACGCACTCCTCCGTGAGCTGCGTGGGCGCGCCGTGCCCTCCCCGCATCGCACCTGCGGGCTTCGGCTCTTCCGAGTTGAGGGGCACGGGCACAGCGAAATCGGCCGCTGGATCAGTGATTCTTGAGATCTGGTGAGTAAGTAATCCCTGCCACCAATGAAACATATACACTGGGATACTTGAACATGTATATATATATATATATATTATACAGTATTACATACACAGTATAATAGATACTCGGGCCTATGGACCCGCTGTCTCAGGTGCCGGTCAACCCCTCTGCACCTCCGGCCTCTTGGCACCGCCCAGTCGCCCACGGCGGGGCGGTGGGCAGAGCACTGGGAGAGGACCTGCAGGCTCCGCAGGCGCTCCGCAGGTGGATATGCCCGGGGAGAAGTCAGCACAGAACCAGACGCTGCAGCTATGCTGCTTAGATATCAAGTGCTTGGGAATGGCTATTGATAATGCCTGCCAAGGGCCCTACCAGTTCATGTGAGTAGCCCAGCCTTCTCTCTTCCAGATTATGACGAAAAAACCTCCTGGACCTCAATCAAGGCCTGGGAGAAGCCAACCATGTCGTAAGTGATCAAAACCACATCCATGGCTGTACCATTGGACCATGGTTGTACCATTTCAGCCGTACCAGACCCATCAGCCCAGCATTCAGCATCACGATACATCAAGCAATAGTTGAGCATCGGGCCCAGCCGCCTCGTTGAACAGCAAACTTTGCGCTGATTTCACCTGGGCGACGAGCGCCTGCTGTCTCAACAGGAACTGCGAGAACTACGCAGCAGTTCGACACTGTTGCTTCATCTACAGTAAGTGATTATGCACTTTGACAGGACAGGAATGGAAGTCCGGTCTTGGATTCAAACAATCTATCTAAAGTAGAAGTGCCGTAAACCAACTGCCTTACGTAAAGTATCCAAGCCTACAGCTGTGCACACAACATCTAGCTACGGAGATAGGCAGCAACTAGAGTGACATGAACCTGGATGCCTTGAGATGCTTAATTTTCCCCTTGTCACAGGACAGAATGCTGATGTCACACCAGTGGCATAGCTAGCAGCTGAAAGGCATCCCACGGGCATACAACGAACACATTGATCGAAAAACTGAAAACTGCGAAGTCCTCGGCATTTCTGCATGGCACATACAGCATGAGCAGCTGCCGCGGCAAGTTCTGCAGTGTCTCCTCTGGAGTGAGCTTCTTCGCCAGTGAAAGCAGCAATCCTACGGATGCATCATGAGCCCCATCAATTGCAGTCTTCACCCGAGTGTGAGGATCATCGTGCTCACCAATCCCAATCCAAAATTACTTACAGTATTCGCAAGCCAACCACACCGTGCGTGTTTCAAGCTTGCTTTGCTTGTGGGGGATTGGCAGGCTGTAAAGCACTTGGGTATATCGAAGCTCTTCAGCCGTGCTTTATATATGCTTGCGGTTGCTTGGGGGTCCAGGTGCGGCATGGTCAGCATGAGCCCGTCTGGGGTTCCGGAGGCCTCGTTCCAAGTGGTAACGCCTGGGCATCAAGTCTAAGGCCTCCTGCAACCAGTCTGTGTGAGGATCGAATCTGGGATCTCAGATGAAGCTGTATAGAATATGATAGAATAAGAATCATTCGACCCCCGACAGCTCCTGGAAAATGGAAAACGGGTAGCAAAAGAAGGTTCAGGCATTCCTTGCCTTCTTTCATTTGTTTCACTTGTTCATGACGATGACCTAGGATTCTAGAGAAACTCTGGCCCAACTCAGCGGGAATGCTCTGGCAAATCTCGGGCCAAAGGACAAATTAGCACCCAATTCTTCAATAAACATTCCGTCCTAAAGCACTCGCAAAATTCATGTCCTGTACTCCTGGACTGCTACGCGCTGGTCGTCGAAGTGGATTCTATAGAGGAAAGTGAATACCCAACTCGAAACTCGAAACCAGAAAAAAAAGGAATAGATTTAGAAGAAAAACGGACCCCCGCAAATCAAGGATTGTCTTTTGCCAAAGCATGTAAGAAGTTGCAAGAATTCACTCCTTGGCAGCCTCTGCCACTTCATGAGGTCCACGGTGCCATGCCACAAGGACTCTTTGCTGTGCCTCCTGCAGGAAACAGGTTGGCCACTTCAGCTATTCTTTCAAAGCAACTTGTTTAACGGTTAACATATGTTAACATGTTTCAACAAAAAAAAGAACTGAAAACACCCTTTTTGAAAGCAACCCTTGGCTTCGGGACGAAGGGAAAGCGTCTCGCCTGCGCAGCCTCATCCCACCGGAGCTCCGGACATTCCGGCGCTTCCGATCGCTCGGGAAGGGCGCGGACATCCCCGAGAATGAGACCTGAAACCGTCAGCTCTGTGGCTGGAGCTGTTTGGGGTTCAAATTCGGCCTGCCTGGAGGGTGGCATGGTGGCTGGAGCTGGTTGCACAAGACGAAGTGGAACAGATTCTCAATGATTCTCACTTCTCCGAAGCTGTCAGTGGGAAGTTGGATTTGGGGCTGGACGTCTTCGTTCCTCGACTCTGGTGACCTGTTACCTTTGTGTTCACACGGCCGTTCTGATGAATGCCAGGCCCACCAATCAGATGCACCCCACGGGCGGAAGACCTTTATCTTTTTGATGACCTCCTCCTTCACATCCACCAATGATACCATACATACCACTACAACACATATATATATATATATTATAAGTGATGTCTAGTTGCAAGTGATACTTTTCCAAAATAGAAGTGATACTTTGGTATGAGCTCGCTTCCCGGTGGCTTTTTTTGATCAAATTCAGAAGCCTCGCTGTGGGCCATGGAAGAGGAGGAGGAAGATGAAGGCTCCTGCTCCTTGTCCTCTTGCTCAGAGGAGAAGTGATGACTTCCAATTGGAGTGATTTGTCTTTAGAGTGATTTGCTTAGGTGTCAAATCTTGTTCCCTGATGAGGAGATTGGAGATGAATGCATCTCACAGGAGCTCATCAACTTCCTGGAAGTGGGCCCAGAGTTTTTGAGGCGATCAGGAGACTTGGATCTTGCTGACGTGTGAGAATGTGTGTGTGTTTTGTGATGTGTGAGAAGAATGTGTGTTAACTTGCATTTTCCTATTTGCACTTAAGGGCTGGAGACCTGGATGAGATCTTGGGTGGATGAGAAGTTCACCTATGCCTCAGATTGTTTCTGTGGCTGCATTAGCCCTTGATTGGATTGAAGATGATTTGTAGTGTGGAGACTCAGTTCACTTCAAGGCAGTGGGGCAGACTGTCCACATCAAGCGCTGCAAATGCTGTTTCATGCAGCTGGCAACATGGAAAACCTGGAAGCTCTGTGCCTTGGATCAACTGGTTCTTCTGCTGTCATTTGATGTGTCTGTTCACAAGTTCAATGGGCGAGGTCAGTCAGCGAGATTGACAAAAACAAGCTGGCATTCCTCAAAGCCAACATGGAGTGCAGTGAGCACCTTGTCAGCCTCTGGCTTGTACCTCCTTGGCTAGGTGGTAAACAAGAATGATCCAAGCCAAGGTACTGTGAGAACATCTTCGAGAAGGAAGAGAACAGATTGGACATCCATGATGCTACTTGTCACATGTTTTTGGTGATCGGGTGAATTTATTTGACATTGAGGACTTTTGGTTTTGAGACTGAGGTTTCACTGTACTGCGCCGGCTTCCCCTGCCAGCCCTATTCAGTGCTCAGCAACACGCGGCAGATGCTGTCGGACCCCAATGCCAAGCAACTCTTGAGGGTGATCAAGCGGATCAAACGCTACAGACCAAAAGCTGCTTGGCATGTGAGTGAGAGAAGCAATACACTTAGGCTGTTGATTTGCATGCTGGCATGGTTTCAGGTGGTCCTTCTTGAGAACGTGCTCGGCTTCATGCCATTGGTGGCTGGCCTGATTGAGTTGATCCATGAGAACTGCAAAGGGTTTCTTGGTTGCAAGATCCATTGCTAACTATTGAAGTTGCCAAGCAAGCAAATTTGTGCATCTGCAGGTACGAGATTGCCAAGAACGTGATATGCCCGTGCTTTGGTTGAAAGCAGGATAGAAAACATGATAGAACGTGATATCCCTGAGATATGTGTGCACTCAAATTCAGGACTGAATATGGCTCGCCGCTATCACGCCGACGGATCTACATCACAATGGTCCGGCAGGACGTGATGAAGAGATTGTCAGGGCCGCTTCAAGCTTTTATGGACACCAGGCTGGCAGAGATGAGGATCCCTCTTGGAATCAAATGGACCCTTGGCACAGGGGTGTGCTTTTTTATTGTCAATGTCAGCCAGTCATGCAACGTCACTTCTTTGGGTGTGGCTGACATTCTCAGGCAAGATCTCCTTCTGCCTGCAAACCATCGAGCGATCAGATACGATTGCAAGCGCAGGTATAGAGCTCGTCGGAGGAATGCGCAGAAGAAACTTGGCTTATTTCTTTTTCATGTGGTCAGCTGGAAAACCTTTTTAGTGTGAGGTGTTAGCCAATAGAAATGAGGTGTGTGAACACGCACCACAAATGGATCAAGCATCATCGGGATTGGGCCAGAAACCACAAGGCATTGGTTTTGAATTGAAAGGCTGTTTATTCTTCTGTGCTAGGGCAGCGGTAAACACCCGTTTTGGAAAGGTGGACTTGGCGAAAGCAGTTGCTGACTTCAAAACCCGGAACACTGGCTGTGCCTACATCAGCACGCGACGTGAAATGGAGGCAAGGTGCAACATTGTAACATTGAATGTCAAACATCTAAAGAATGAACTTTAGTTAGATTTTGATTTGGCTCAGGCTGTGGCCCTGCTATCTGCAAAGACCCAACTGTCATTTGCAAACACTTCGCAATCGATCCATTGCATGCCGGTTGTTCCCGTTGATGGCGGTGATCCTTACGAGTATCTTCCAGTGCTTACGTGTTGAACTCAAGTTGGCAGTGCAAGTTTTGAATAATAAATATCACTTGCAACTAACTAAACACACATCCATCAACTGAGGCCTAATGGGAAATTTCTGGCGTTGAGTATAACTCCACAGAGGTATCTTGCTGGCCGTGAATGCTGCATCCTGATGGGGATGCCATATCACAGGATGCGTTTCAATGTTGGGGAGAATGCTACTAGGTTGCAGTACATGCCTTGACCACATGTTCATAGAGGGAAATTGAAACCCCAAACTGCCCTCAGGTGCTAGCATCTCTAGCTGGGAATGCAATCCCTGTTAGATGTGCAATGGCTATGCTTTGCGCTGCCATAAGGGCAACACGACCAGAACGCATGGCTCACCTGTGACCTGAAAAGGGACATATTGACTCAGGATGTTGCAAAGCCCTGCTGCTTTCCTTTGTCTTAGCAAGTTCTTGTAACCTGTGCTGGTTCTCAGGTGAAACAATGAAACAGCAATGACATGCAAGGAATGCAAACAACAAACTTCAATTAGAATTTGCTTGGTCTCATTGTCTTTTTTGTCCATGCCTATTTTGCAGCGCTATGATGCAAGAACGGATTCGTTGGTGCCAATCGAACTGGACAATTTGGTATTGGGAAGATATGACCCTTCATCAACTTCTGAGTCTGAAAGTGGTTCTGAGCATCTTTCCTGCATTCCAACTCTATGTGAATTACTTGGATTCTCCCACCTCTTAAGCTCTGCACCAAGGTATGAGGATGACTCAGCTTCATCTATGTCATCTTCTGGGACTGATGCCTCTTCAGAAGAAGATGATTGTTTACCTGTGGGTGAAAGGGGGGAAAGTGAGTCTCACTTTGCAAAAGCTTCAATCAATGCATGCCGTGGCAACAGAAATCAACAAAGAAGCCTCATGTCACTACGCTATCCATGGAAGATGCAAGACCCGCATTGTGGAATCCATCCGGAAACCAGTCTGTGCCTGCAAATGTCGTTTGCAAGTGGCCCAGCTCTTCAAGCTGTGCATGGCTTTTTGGTGTTTGACCAAGAGAGGGCAAGATACAGTTTTATGGGAGATCCAGCAACATGGAACCGCTGGTCGAAAGAAAGATTGGTATCTTGAAGGCCTGGTTGAACCACTACTGTTCAACATGATTGAGTTGTTCAATGAAGACAATGTTTGCGATTGTGTTTGGGGTCCTCAAAAGCCCTCAGGTGAACACGTATGCAAAGAAGGCTGGATGCATATGATGGCCATTGGTCGAAAGCGCTTGGCGCGCACACGCCAGATTGCCTATGGGAAAGACCTGAGATGCTATGGTGGAATCTTTGCTGACTTCAAGGGTGCCCCCTAGTTCCAACCCAGTCATCCTGCTTGTGCCCTCTCAGGACCACCGCTGCATCGATGCACAAAGTCCGCCTCATGCGATGCGTTTTTCATCCACATATACTGGTCGGCTGGTGAGCCTATGTCAAAGGAGTAGCTTGCCTCACATTTGCTCAGTGATGAGAACTGTGTTTAAAAAATGCTTCAACAGCAGTGGCCAAGGATTGCAACTACAGCAGCTATGAAAAGGGGGGGATGATAATCTGAGAGATGAACTTCTTCAACGTCTTATTGACAGTAGATTGGTCACTCCCTATGTACAGGTGAACTTCAACCACGAGCCATCAAAATTACCTGTTCGTGAACTGCCCCACTCCAGCTGGGCTGAGATGTACTTGCTTTACAAAGCATACACAAAAACCACTCATGAAGCATGTGCGTCACGTGCAACCTTCTTCAAATCCGTATCGAAGTGGAAGGTATGCTTGAAATTCCATCAGAAAACGCATCACGCTCAGTGCGCTACATGTGCCCGATACAGATCAGCTTTGCATCGCACGGATGAACCCTGTCATTCTGGTGTGGTGTTTTGAAATCTTTTGAGACGAATGTGCTGTGACCCACCCCTTCTGAGAAGCTAAGGATTTCCAATTGGTGGCCAAGATATCAGACCTTTTACTCCATCACTATACGCAAACTTGGAAAGATCGGGAGGTCTACTGGTGTGCCAGGGAACGGGCAAAAGCCCAAAGGGATCTGCTAGTCCTAATCCTGGACAGCTACGACCATGCCAAGCTATCACTTCCAGCCTGGCCCATGCGTCGTTGCCCCAAAAAGCCGGTCTACGAGGGGACACGACGTGCATTGGTGACAACTAGTTCCAAATACTATTTGTCAGCTAGTTACTAGTTGCTATTTGACCTAAGTGATCTAAGGAGTGCACCTCACCATGACTGGCGTGATCATCCACGGGCGGGGCCTTTATCTGTACTTGGCTGATGAAGGTATGCCTGGAGGATCGAACTGGTCCATAGAATGTGTTACTTGGAATAATGTATTATTGCGCCCATCCCTTCACTCTGCTTTGCTGGGCAGCAAGGCGATGCGCAGCATTGACCACGCGTGGACG